GGGAGAAATGGATGAAGGAAAAAGAGGCGAAGTGGTGGTACTTCTTCATCGCAACTGTACCACAGGGTACCCAACGTTTGKAAATTTGTTGTAAATACCTTTTCCTTGATTCTTACATGAAAACATGTAATTAATTTCCCCAAACAATATTGATTATTCAAAAAGCATATTACTTTTGACTCATGACTCAGAATAATAAAGTTAAATGAGCCATCCTTCTCTCGATCTTCATATCACGTGACTACTTTGAACACGATTTATCGGAAACCGAAAGTTTTGATTGACATTTTATGGAGAGAAAGCATAGGTAATGAAGAAAATATTACTTACGATAGTAAATCTGTTCCATCCTTGGTGTTTAGTCCTGAAGAATTGGAATTTTGTTCACTCTTTCTCGATCGCCTGGTAGCCATTTTGATTTTGTTGTAGTCCACATGCGCGTTGGACAGCGGCTTTCTGYARTCTTTGTACAGTATAAACTCAAATATGATTGGCTATTTGTCACGATATCTACCAATCACAACTCGTGTTGTAGTAGTTATAATGTGATGTGTAATATTCAAAGATGGCTGCTAAAATGGAGGACAAGTCTAAGTTACTGGAGGAAAAGTTAAGAGAAAACTGCTGCATTGGAGACGAGGCAAAAGTGAAAACACTCTTAGAGAAGGGAGTTGATGTAAACGCAGCTAATAGAATGAACGGGTGGACGCCATTGCATTGGGCAGCKAAAAGRGGACATAAGAACGTTGTTGAACTACTTTTGAAGGAAGGTGCTGTGACAACTAATAAAACTAARAAAGGCGAGACTCCTGCTTCACTAGCGAGCAAGCAAGAAATCAAGGACTTGATTGGCGTTTCTGACGGTGAAGCTGTTGAAACTATTAGTGAAARTCTTCCAATTATTCCCAATTATATAAAAAACCCGCCATTCATCTACCTTAATGGGGACKATGAGAAGGAGTCCSAAGTTAGTGAAACTCTTCCATTTGAGCTGGGAAGAAATCTTAGAAAAGAAMCTGATAYTGCCATAACAAGTCCTTCTAAGCGTAATGGTGAATGTTTAACGTCTCCTCCACGAAAGACGATTGCGTTAGATGTTGACAACAATCTACCTGGCAATCTATATCRATCTCCAACTAATGCTTCTGTCCAAAACGTGTATACAGAGCTCGTCTTGAAAGTCAGAGAAGCAGATTCACAAGAGCAGGATTTTATTGAGATTGAGGTTGATTRTGACCATYTGACSTTTGATAATCTTTTGGACATTTGCTGTAAAGAACTGGAGATTGACCGCAGTAGAGTTAGGAAAGTCAGGAAATTRCCTAATACCATAATCAGAAAAGACAAAGATGTTGGTCGTTTGCAGCATTTTCAAGAAATTGAAATTGTTTTATATTCTGATTAGAAGGCATCAACAAAGTATTATTTGATATCTGTATGTATTTGATGTTTAGACTGTTGCTCCTGTAGAGCCAAGGATGTCAGGTCATAAATGTCTTTTGATTTCAGGCATTGCAATCCTGTTATGTCCTTTCTGATTGAAGGRCATGAGCTTTCAGTTTGTGATATGTAGTTTTGGTACTCATGGAACCCCTAATGACCACCAGTACAGTGGGCAATCATTTTCCATGGTTAGGGTCATTGTTGATATTTTGCCTGCTGGTCATAGTGGCTAAACTTGCATCAGCACATAAACTACATGTTACTTATCTTACTATGTTACTATTTGCATTSCAAAAATTATAATTTGAAAGAAAAGAAGCATTTTATAATCCAGAGAAGGGAAGATAAAGGCTCTGTTTCTTTGGAAATRAGACTGCTTTCTCTTGTCTTGTTTTCTCTATGACAATAAAGTAACCACTGTTTTTATTCTGCTTGTCTCAATGCATCTAGAAAGGGAGTATGGGTAAAGTTGTATGCTCCTCAWTAACAATGAAAGCTACATTTGTCTACACATTTTGCTCAGGGAGAGTTGCTGTTAATTGAAATGTGATATGTTTTAGCAAGGATGGTTGTCATAATGTTCAATCACAAATATCTTTCTACCCACCTTAATACTAATACTTCATAGGAATTCAAAAGAATTTAATACAAAGTGTGGGCTCAATATGTATTATATGAATTCCTTCAGATTGTTTCTGACAACTGTAGACATATTTATTTCATAGAGTCCACTAGCAGTACTCTGAAGTTTGAGAATGCTAATGAGTTATAAATACCACCTTATATGTAGATCCTTTCCACCGATCATATAATACAGTCAATCTCAATACCATTGCTCTTGTAAAGACACACAGACAACAACAAATTCATTTGCATAGTCATTTTTTAACTTTGCACGAATATTCAGTGACAACATTTGCAATTTATCTTATCAAATGACCTTTTGTTGTCTATACAAGTGACAAAAATCAATACACAATACAATTTATATTTACGCAATTCTTTTGTATTTCTGATATTTTCACACCTGTTAGAATATCGAATACTGTAATGCATGTATATAATAAAGTTGAATATTATTGTGACCTTGTATCATGATTCCCAGGGCAAACTCCTTCCTCCCTGAACACGTGACAGTGCAAACGTAGTTTCAATTCGATCTAGCCTATAATCCCGGTATAATTCGTCGTTAAGTTTTAAAGGTTCAATTCCCACATTCATGGTTTTCCAAAAAGCTGTAGTAACTCGAAGGAAGTAAATCTTTGCCTTTCAGTAAATGACCTAAGTACTCCTTAGAAGGACGAAGTCCCAATTTGAAAAACTTTTCGGTGCAAACGTACGCCGTACAATCCACTGCTTCTCCATTGCTGCGGTATACTTTAACGTTAATTCTTTCATATCCTCCTCTTGGAACCCACTCAAATATGTCAAGCTTTGCGAGGCCTCCTTTTTCTAAAGTATAAAGAGCTCCATGGACATTSGAATTCTCCTCCGGTACCACAGTCGCAGAACCAAATCCAGAACCACTGTTAAAAGCGAACTCGAGCTTGTATCCACGAAGAACGGCATGTTCCCGTCTTGTGTACACTGCTTGCCTTTCCTTCATTCTTTCGGCATTAAGATTCGATCCATAAGCAAAATAATATTCGAATTCTTCTTCCATTTCCTATCTGGTAGAAGTTGAGGAACTGGACTTTCACGAGGTATTAAACTGGAGGTTTAGGTTTCTGAAAACTTGCTTAYTAAGGGAAATGATGACTCAGTCAGTAACTTATGATAGCGGTATTTACCAATAGTACAATCTGRTTAGATAAGCCGAGACAGCGATAAAAATACCAGTGACATACCTACCGATCAGTAATGTGAAAGTGAAAATATAACTTTACGTTAGGTTATACCACAGGCAACCCATGACAACACACAGGAAGCCCAAAACCTTATAACTGGTATGTAGGTGCAAATACAAATTCTGACCGCTAATACCATCACAAAGTCCACTTCGATGACACGTGACTCCACATATTATGTGACCGTGGAAAAATTRGATGGATGCAATTCTTCGTGGTTTAACTTTATAAATCAAACTCCATCTGGCATTATTGATGTGTGCTGTCCATCACGCTAGGTGGCGTTGCACATCACGTTACCATGGGAAATTTGAAGTTAACMCTCTTACGATTCAATCCGGGCGAAACCAACTCAACTCAGGTTGCTGTCATGTCCTGTCAATTACAGTATGTGAGGTCATATATCACAAGACTWGGAATTTCGGAGTATGATTGCATACCACGTGATCGTTGGAATGCAGCTTCTATGAGGAAACAAGTCATAGACAACACTGTCGGTCTGTAATATTAGATTATAACGGATTTGACGTCATCTACCGCGTAACTGCACAATGCTGTACCCCGAGCTAGCGCTCTAAAACCGGTTATTGGCCTTTTAGTATTTGCATAAATGACTAAAAAATTATAGACAGTAAGCTACGGACGGGAAAAGTCATTTGTGCACTTACAGGAATACACAAAAAAGCTTCATTCATTGATAATAGACCTAAATGCCAAAAATATCAAACAACTTGAAAGAAGGAAATCTATATTCCACGGTGTGAACCCAAAGGGTGTAAATGAGATCGCCTTATGACATTGAGACTCCCCCTTTGCCGTGGGCAGAAGTTTGCCACCATTGTCAGCGCCTATGCCCCCACCATGACCAACCAAGATGAGAGCAAGGACAAGTTTTATGAAGACTTGAACACTGTCATCGCTGCTATTCCCAACGCTGATAAACTCATCACCCTTGTTGACTTTAACGCGAGAGAGTAGGCCGTGACAGCATCTCATGGGAAGGCGTGATAGAGAAGCATGGAGTCGGCAACTGCAACAGCAACGGTCTACTACTCCTCCAGACCTCTGCCGAGCATGTTCTTCTACTCACCAACACCGTCTTCAACATCCCTACCCGTAACAGGACAACATGGATGCATCCTCGCTCAAAGCATTGGCATCTGATTGACTACGTCATCGTGAGGAAGAGGGATAGAGAGGACGTACAAGTCACAAAGACCATGTGTGGCGCAGAGTGCTGGACAGACCAGCGCCTCGTCGTCTCCAAACTCAAGCTTCGTTTCAAAACCAAGAGACGGCCACAAGATGTGAAAGCGCCAAAACGCCTGAGCATCAGCAAGCTGAAGGTCAGCAGCACAAAGCAGTCATTCGCCGATACCCTGGAAGAACGCTTATAGGCTCCACTGTGCTGGAAGGTCAGGATGTTGAGACAGCATGGGCCGCACTTCGTGAGACAGTGTATAAAACAGCCATGGAATGCTTTGTGCCCACTTCCAGGAAACACAAGGACTGGTTTGATGAAAACTGCATAGAGGTCAAGCAGCTGCTGGACGAAAAAAACAAGGTGTACAAAGCCCATCTTCAGGACCCAAAATCCTTGTCAAAGAGGGACAAACTGAGGAATATTAAGAGAAACTATACACTAGCTGTTCCAGCACATCTGGCAGCATGAAATGGTTCCACAGGACTTCAAGGATGACTCCATCATCCACCTTAAAAGCGTAAAGGAAACCGCCAAGGCTGCGACAATCATCGTGCAATCTCCCTGCTGTCCATCGCGGGAAAGATTCTGGCAAGAGTATTGCTGAACCGCCTCATTGATCACCTCGAACAAGGCCTCCTCCCTGAGAGCCAGTGTGGTTTCCGGAAAGAACGCGGGACTATCGACATGGTGATTGCTGCCAGACAGCTACAGGAAAAGTGTCAGGAACAGAATGCCGACCTCTACTCTACTCGATCTGACCAAGGYCTTCGATACTGTCAGTAGAGAAGGTCTTTGGAGAATCATGGCGAAGTACAGATTCCCAAGAAAGTTCATCTTCATCGTACGTCAACTACACGATTGCATGCTGGCAAGAGTCCACAAAACGACCACAACATCGACCACAACACGTGGGAGCAGGCAACGCAAGACAGAGGAAAGTGRCGAACAGMTTTCCACAAAGGTGCCAAYGCTTGAGAGGCAAACAGGATCGCTGTGGCTGAAGATCGCAGACAAGCCAGGAAGGCCAKAGCTGCCAACCCAACAGCTGCTACTATCCCCKGTCCAYACTRCCCGAGAYYTTTCCRTGYGCAGATTGGCCTGAACAGTCATCTGCGCACACACAGATCCMAAMTCCCCCAACCCTAGGATAAATRGTTGGTCSTCGTCGTACCGAMGGACGAACACATTAACTCTCTTCGTCATTCGGTCTGTCAAATCAATCGWTCCGTTATAGMTCTGGGTCGAACGATTGGTTTGTTTWATAGGCTTGRTGAATAGGTTGAAAATTGTAAAAATTRWWTTTAGGCCTCTTCCATGCTGATCCACACTGATGAGATTCCATTGCTTTTCCAATACAAAATCAATGCCTACAGTATTAACGATCATACCATTGTATTGAGTTACTAAATTCACTGCTTTTTAATTGCGTTTCAATGGATTGGATTGTAATTCTATTAACGAATTTCACTTGCACCAGATAATCTGTTTTTATTGGCTACTTTTTATCGTAGTGTGGTAAAAGTAAGATGGGTTGAGAATAAAAGGGTTCGGTTCGAATCCTACAGACCAGTATTTATCAAAATATTTTTTTTCACCAAAATTTGCAGCTTAGAACATGAGTGTTTTCCAGGAATCTGTTGAAGATTTCTAAGTCTAACATGCAAATTAAGTTTAGAGAGTAGTATGGTATAATCTGGATAAAGCACTTGAGATTGTGCAGCATCTGTATAGAATGAAGTAAAAAACCCGTGAAATAGTGCCTACGCTAATACAGCTTACTATGCTGTGATTKCATTGTTTTCTTTTGTGTCTAATTTGACTATCACAGTTTAATTGTTAAGTTTTGTTTCACGTGTTTCAAGACTTCACTCTAAAGCACTTGAGTACTCCTATGAGAGAGATAAACTCCTTTTTTGAATAATAAAGAAAACTGACTCAATAAAGTAKTTACTACTATACTGATGATGTTTCATTATTTCTATTATCAACATGATTATTATCACTGCTATACACACAGCTAMCACAATCACTTAATTACAGTAATATGCAAAAGTATTTTTACACAAAATATTTTCTTTGCTATCTAAGTATAGACAGCATAAAAGKTCCACAAGACACCTGTCTACATGTGTCTAGGCAGCTCTGAACTATAATTTCAGAGATTAGAGGCTGGTTTTTCAGTGAATAAACCAGAGATCTGATGCGTTTCTAATTGCTTTTGCGGATGATCTATCAATGTCTATGCTAGTTTAGGGCTTCAGTGTTGCCACGAAGCTGTGATGCGATGCTTTGTAAAACTGTTCATTATGAACATTATTAACGATCTTGTATTMTTGGCCAGAAAGTACTCTTTACTAGAGATCTAACGGCCTGAAGTATTTTTATAAAAGACGCATTTGATTGTTTCTCRTTTCATGCCATGTATCGTCAGYATCGATTAGGATTTCGCAGTTTGTCATCATTAATTTTCAAACTGCTGGATTATCGCGGAAAGGTACATTACGCAGCAAAGCACTGCTATGGACCTTTTCCGATAATTTCTCCTGATCTCAAATATGAAATCCTAATGCCTATCTGCCAAAATGAAATTACTACTGATTTGATTCCTTTACGAGTATTCTTTGAAAAAATGCTTTTTTGTTCAAAACAAAAATCTTTGAGTTCGTAATGTTTGCTGCCTAATAACAGCTTTATTATGCGTTGAAACCACTGATGAACAATCAATGTTCCCTATTTCGAAATATGATTTTTTTTCTATTTTGCATGAAGCGTATGCTTTGCATCCTTTCATTTACCAAACTTCGCATTTCTTCTCTGGGTTCATTGCCTGACCAGGCTTACACTTGTAAACTTTGGAAAACTCCTCCAAGTTTGACAATGTTCCAATAACCCTAAAAGTACCAAATACAGTCATAAAATTTTCATATAGATGCATAAGACTCATTTCAGTGCGAAATCAAGTCACTTTAAAGGGCTACTTGGACGAAAATTTCGAATCATTAGAAAAGACTTGGAAATCAAATAGACCTATCCATATCGGTTTAMTAATCATGAAGCAGCAGATTTTAAGAAAATATTCATGCAAATCCTTGATAATTTGGACAAAAAATGTTGGAGTAGATGACGTCATTTACTCCATCCTTTTGTTCTTCCATATTTTGAATCAAAATTAGTATCTGATGTGGGATAATTACAAAACAAATATTTCCGCGCAATTGTTTTTAATAGATATCAATGAGTCATATATTTGTATTGCTTGAAGTTTTGAAATAAGGCCATTTTCATGCAAGTAGCACTTTAATTGTGCCTGCATAGAGTCAATTTCGTATGAGTGGGAAACGTACGGTAGAAATTACCGCACGCACGGTTACCGCACAGTAACCGGACCTGTTCTGCACAATTTTTGTGAACCAATGGGGCGCTAGAATTTGGTTACAGTACGATTACGGTCACAGTACAGTACCGTCCGTTTCCCAATCATACGAAATTGACTCTATGATCTATTATTGCATTGTATACCTGTACTTAGAGGGAGGATGGACGTCTTCCATTACAGCTAGAAACTCTGCTGCTGGCGTTGTTCTCACGCACTCTTTCTGTTTGATTTTAAAGCAAAAACGTATTATGTAGGCATTCTCGTTTATTTKGAAAGTTTCAACCCTGCTTCATTWGTGCATAGTTAGTAGAGGGAAACTATGAACTATGATTAATGAAACTTTTCACCCTAGTCCCCAGGGGTTCCTCGCCACGGAATAGAAGAATATTTAYTTGAGTTAATGCGGCGATTTGCTCAAGCGCGGTTACGTGGGTTCGAATATCACATGATGAATAAGAATTCTGAATGCTTGAGTGATAGTCACGATAGTAATATATATAACTTATAACCTGAACGGCTATATACAATAAAAAATGCCCCTCAAAGATGAAGAGGAAGAGGAAGTTTGTACCAAAGCAAAACGTCTGAATAAAAATTAATAAAAGTGAATATTTATTTGAATTACCTGAGCATATCCAAGGAAGAACAGTTTTTCGTGTGGCATGTTTAAATCAGGAAGAATCTTTTCATCGCTATGYGTTGATAAAAATTCTCTAAAAGCCTAACAACAAAAAATAAATGAGTGGCCATGGCAGTATTGATCGATTGATTCAGTGAAAACTGACTGGGATGGTTTGCTGGTGCGTTGTGTGGTTTATAATGACGAATTGTGCAATCATACTTACATGATAAGCAAGTTTAACTCCACCTCCATCAGCAATATTTTCTCCCAGAGTTTTAAAGCCATCAAGCTGTTTCAAAAAACAATATCAACAGTTACACCATAATACAATAAACTTTCTCACCAAATGAACTGAAATTAATATTACGGAAAAAACAGAAGTACTTCTGGGAAAAAATTGGAATGGCGGTGTGTGAATCACGGGATGATGCCACACTGATGCCAGCTTTAGATAAGAGCACTGTAGATAAGATTGGCCAAGTTGTAAAGGTACATGAGTGAATTTATCATAACGTCGTCTATTGGAATTTGAGGGCGAGCAAAGGATATCTATCAATTTAAGCAGGGCTTTTAAATTATCATAAGAAAACAGAATTTTTATAACAACGCTATGATGGCAGTATATGCACTATGAGAATCATTATCACTAAATATCCTTACGTGGAATTTTCCCAAAACTCTGTATTTTGAAAACTGCTCGACTAGGCACTTTGCTCGTTTTTCAAAGGCTTTGATAGAAGAGTTGCTCCATGTGTGAGTTTTGTGATTGCCGGGATCAATTTCCTCGCCATTTTGATCATATTTACGACCTGAAAGAAGGAAATAGTGTGTTGAACTGCACGTTATGGTTAATTTTTATGCCAACTCATGTTCAGTTTAGCATATTTTAGTAATAAGAAAGGATAGGTCATATGATTTTGCTCGACGGGATAAAAAATATCAATAACAAATAGAACAATGATTAGATTGAGACCTTGCGTTTGAGTTAATGTTTTGTTGTCTCTTTCTTTGACAACAGAGTTTGAACAAACTCAGCCTCGAACACAAGCGCTAAAGAAAAGGAAATTTTTGGTCCTTGCGTTTAGGTCGGTTTTAATCGTAATTAGAGCCATTGCGGACTTAGGTTTAGTATTCACTTGGGTTTCAACCGTACCGGGCTTTATAATTCATACGGAGGAACCCCAATAAAGTACTTCTTTTCCAGCCAAACAATTGAGAAACGAAATGAAAAAGGAATTGTTCTATACTTTTTTATCTACTTGCATTCTCTTCTTTTCTCATATTTATTGCCTGCTTGTCCGAAATATCATGATAAGTACTATTGCTGCGTGTCATTTCTGTCTGTCTGTCTGTCGACACCTTGTATATAGTCTATATATGGCGATGATAATGATGGTAGTACCTGTAGTATCAAAACCATGCGTTAACTCATGACCAAGCACGTGACCAATAGCACCGTAACTGAGTGACCTGAGATAAATTAAARAACAAATGCATTTTTGTCAAAGAGTATTTTGCTCACATGAAAGGATTCGTATTGTCATACCTTGGAATCTCCTCCGGGTAAAAGAACGGCGGCTGAAGGATACCAGATGGAATAACTAATGGAAGTAATAAAGCATGCTTTATTTACAAGCTGGAGAATAAACGGTTCTTATAAGAGAACAGAGATGACTGTATTAATTTAAGTAATGATGCACAGCCTCGCATTGCATGTGATTCAATGTAATAAAGTTCAGGGMAATGCAAATTTGACTTTGACGCAATGCTATGTGCAATGAAAGTAATTCAATGGAATGTAGTTCGATATGAGGCTACAAAATATGATGAAATGTACCTACCAATTTCGTTCTTTGTTATGACGTAGAAAGCATTTACAAGGTGAGGAACAGTGATCCATCTGAAAATGAAAACATTCAAACAATTTAGTATGACAAAGCTACAGGAAACCTTTAAAAGGAAAGAACATAATGAAAGCATGCCAGGACAATGACTTTTAAAGTTATATATCATATATATATATAGTAACTGAGACTTGTATACTGTATAATGCATCTTTCCTCATGCATGTAACGTCGTGCAATTTTCACGGTGATCTGAACTTGTCTTTGAGTTTAGAATTGAGTACAGTAACAATCAACAACAACAACACCAGCAACAACAACAACAACAGCAACAACAACAACAGTAACAACAACAACAACAACAACAACAATATCGTAAAAGAGCTGATACTTGAGGACAAAGTCGAATACCGAAAGATGATGAGAATGAACTATGTCGATTTTGGTCAAGTGTTGTTCATTATATACATCAGTAAAATGTGCATGCGTGAGAGCAACATTATTGGCTAAGCTATGCAAGCGAAGAAACATACTTGGGCGATACTTTTTAAAAAATATGACGTTGATGTGAGGAAAGAACTAAATGTTTGATCAAACTTTATCATAAATTACTTACTGATGTTTATCACTGACTGTATTTAGTTTTTCGAAAGTTTGAAGAGAAGCGAACTTGTCTGTTTCCAAAACATTATTAAACCAGTTTTCACCAGTTATGTTCAACTACGGAAAAAGACATAAAAAACACATAAATACAATAAAAAATAAATAGGTATGTCTCAACCTATTCCCAAAATGGAGGATATATAAAAAAGTAGTAAACGTGCTCATTAGAACAATTTGAAATGAATAGAAATTGGAATATGAAAGCTTTAGCTAGTGTCATGCGGCTCTTAAGCGTGCCCATATTTGACATAATTGCATGGCGCTAAATTCTAATGCTTAAAAGTCTAATAAAAGGCTTAGAGCGCTAGTCGTACAGCTCAGGGAGGGAGAGGATTACAGAAAAACGAYCATGCTTAAAAAAACAAGTGATTTGACGGATGACGGCTTAAAGTTTGCGCATATGACGGATRATGGTTAACCCCATGGAGGCCCTCGGGTAYGTTATATTAAGTACCATGCTATATCTTTTGTTGACTTTTTCGTCGTCATAGAGATACTCAGGATAGCCAACTTGATACACCGCTTTATCGGCCTACGAAAAAGAATTATGGTATAATTCAAAAAAGTATGAATTGCATTATACATGTTAAATAACTTTTGCCAAAATCCGATTTTTTCTAAGCTTCAATCCGAAACATTTTATGAGAGTACTAATCTAAAACTAAAACCTTTCTTTTCAATTATTAGATCACAGAAATAGCGTTGAAAGTATTTCATTAGAATAGAATCTCAAATCCAATTCACCTTCTCCTCAACAGCTACTACAGTATCCTTATCCACCCAATCAACATGCTCAATGTTGTCTTTGAARGCCTTTATTATACCCTCCATCATGGTTTCCACCTATCAAAGAACATTTGATTTTAAACAACCTCACTGGTTAATAAACATTTTCATCGAAAATGCATCATATACAAATTATTTGAAGAGTTTCAGAGTTGTCTTTCAGTAGCGTAGTGTTGTGTCTGTTGTGGATGTAGATGAGGAGTGATAATGAGCCATACACTATTACTATGATCTTTGTTTATTACAAGACTAGTAAGTTATTGGAGCATGAATGACAGTAGGTGTGAATAAAAAAAAAATATTTTCACAGTAGCGCATGACTCATCATTCCTCATCTTCATTCACAAATTATTTGATTTTTTGTATCTTGTGTACCTTGTGTTTACTTTCTGGACTAAAAGCATTYTTCACAAATAGTGCTCCCATCAATGGTCCAAGTAGGTTATTAGCGTATCCAAAGCACTTCCTTTCTCGAGGCTTCTCGTGCTTTACTCCRAGCAATTTCTTTTTTAATTCAAAATGTTCTTTACGGAAATCATTTGATAGTAAAGGAATAACGTCTTTTATAAGTCTCCATACCATGTAGTTTGATAAAGTGCTAACAAAACAGAATGAATTWGTTTTACAGATGGGAAATATTTTAAAATAGCATATATTCAGATCAAAAGACATGGAACTTTCAAACCAACTCCAACCACATCCTTGTCAATAACGTCATCAGAGCCTTGTTAACAGTCAGCAACCTCGTTCCTAGGTCTCATTCCCTTTTATTGTCGGTAGATCCCAAAACAAAAGAAAACGACCTGAGAACGAGTTTGAACAGTCCAACCACACCCTTTTTACTCAGTTTCCAATACCCAATCTTGAACATTACCTTTTGTCCGTTTTTCTCAGAAGTTCAAATAGGTTTGGAAGGTAATCATTAGCTAAAACAATGACTTTGGTTTCGTTTGTTATCTTTTTCGTCCAGAAAACCCCTTGAAGGTGGTCCTGCCATGGAAACTGCAAACACAGAAAGATAGATACGGTCATCCGCAGTCACCATGACAACCTACYGACTGCCTGAGTGATAATTGCCCATGTGATCAACCGATCAATTGATTGGAGCGCCCATTTTGGATTGACTGGCAATAACAATTACTATCATTATGCTTTTACTATTTAGATTATTATGGAGATGTAATTCTAAAATTATCGCTTGATATGTGTTGTATGCTTTGAGCCATTGAACCGAAGACGGCTTTTTAATGACATTACGAATGTAATAAGTGTTTYGACCTCTTACCTCAGGGACAGCTTTTTCCAGTTTGGCGATTGGTATACGGACGTACTTTTTGGCCACTTTAGGGACTGAGATCTTATATTAATCATACAAATGGCTTATTAGTTTGTAATTCTAATTGAACATTAGAAGCAGAGCCTTTAGGGCCAAGGACTGTCGCCATTATGATAGAGTTAACTGAACAGTCCTGTTTAGATTCATTTGATCATTCATCCAACATAGTCAATTCGTCAATGTCAGTGTCATGGCTTTAGAGGACCACGTATGATTTACATTTTCTTACTTACCGATGCTAATTTCACTTCAAACTTCATGAGATCCCTTACTTTTTCTTCTGCAGTCTTTTCTGGGCACCCAGATAAAGTGACAATGTGTGACATGTACTTACTGACAAGCCTTAGAATCTAGACATACAAACAATAACTAAGATCATCAATGAGCCTTGGGGTCCTAATTTCTCTCAGTTCATGATCACCCCTAAGTCGATCGCTTCTTGCTCCTTTAATTATAACCTTTGTAATTCCCAGAGATGATTTTGTTGTCAAAGAATTTGGAGAATGCATATTCAAAGCTGTCTTCAATATACTGTTGTTTYTTTATACACATTTTTACATAAAATGTCATGTCATACCTTAGGGCTGGTRAAGTAAATGATCTGGGGTAAGTTGAGTGTTGCTTGGTCGATCTGAAAAGAACARTGCAAAGGTTAGACATTATAAGTGTGTTCTATCAAGAAAGGAAATATGATCAATTTTGGATCCAGGACGTGAATTTTGTGGTATTTAGGCGGTGTAGACCTGGCAACATGCTAGACAGAAAATCTGCAACACGTCCGAATCATGTAATAGAGGATACTCACGTCCGTAGTCACGGGTAGGGGAAGAGGGGAGACGTACTTGATTCAAATTTGAGCGGGAACGTTTCGCTGCATAGTTAATACGGTCTGSCATCGTATATAATAAATMTAACTAATTAAAACTATAAAAACACTATATATGATAAAAATCTAGGTAAAATATCGCTTGTTGTCACTAATCTTTGCTGTACGCTTTCAAGTCTCAGCTRAGATGTGCACTCTCGTGATCACGTGATCGAGTCAAAACCATAACAAAGAGATCGMTCTTTGATGTTCGCCGGGTTTCATAACCAGTCCATTAACTATGTTCGCTGGTACCTCTAAGCCCCATGACCCGATTAAAGGCAGCAAAATCCATACCCTATAACTGATTAATTTATTTAGATCCTCTGACTCGAGGGTTGACATAAACAAGGTACTGCTCCCGTAAAATATTTCGATATGACATATTGACACCCTCTATAAACGTCTTTAACATAGAACGTTCACCCSCTATTCAAGACGAGTTAAGTTCACCTGTATATGATCCTATTCAAAACGCGAAGGCCAAAAACACACCCACACCCTRACGTTCCAGTATTGTAAATATAGGGAAGTAATCACCAAAACAATAGAGACATAATTTGCAGTAATGCAAACGACCACGCTTCAGTTACAATATTGATCTTGATTATTAGCGAAAAATAACATCACTTGATTTTGATATATTCTTCAACGAGATCATATACATAACAATGGTGGTACAACCTACCAATGAAATGAATTCAGCTTGATCGTGGGGTTTTGTTGGGTCAGTATGAACATCCACAGTAAAGAATACTTCGGTTGGGTATTCTCGGTGCATATCTTTCAACGTTTTATAAAAATTCCATTTCCTTGATTTCCATGTTTTGTCAAAGTTCCAGGAACCAAGTTTTTTRATATATTCCTTTAAAGGATTTGCTCCTGCTTTTTCAATTGCATTAATGTCCATACAAGAACGGAAAAACATTTTAACCTTTTTAATAGTGTCATTATCAGTTGGCTGGTCCTTTTTTAACGAATCCATAAGCACTTTCTCGTTGTTTTCGGAGAGTGCTGAGATCCGAGAGTACTGGGTATGAAACTTAGGAATTTTGTGCTCTTTGACCCAATTGCCACAGGCATACTCGTAGAAGTTTTCACATGGATCCACCGATTTATTGATGGAATCCATGATTGATTTTGCTACTTTCTTGCAGTGTGGCGAATCACATACCTCTCTACCAGATACTTTGGATAACAAATTATCAACCTTTGCTACTTTRGGATTTACTTTCTCAGTGCTTTCTTCTTGTTCTTTTGGTTCTTCTTCTTGTGCTTCTTCTACACCTTTTGTTTTTTCTGTCTTTTCAGTTTCTTCCTTCGCAGATTCACTTGGTTGTCCGCTAGCCAATGGCTCAATTTTGACATCTTCCTTTGACTCTTCGACCTCTTCAGTTGTTGACTGTCCTTCCTTTTCAKTTGATTCATCGCTTCCATTTCCCTCAGTGTTTTCATCCAGCTCAGAGGCAGTCTCGCTTCTAGCATTAGCGGTTGGTGCGCAAGCTTGATCATTCTGCTGATCTGCTTGAACTGCACAAGGATTAGTTTCAGGAATTGCAGCTGCAGTTGCTTGACGTACAACCTGTGTTTGCTGATTGTCATTAGACTGCGGTTCTTCGTTGCCYTGAGTTTGTAACTGTGTGACACCTGTAGTTTCAACAACAGGTTGAGTTTTCAACGAACTCTCAGGAACAGTACCTATTACCTTGACAATAGCTTCATTCGTCTGACTTGGGCTATTCACTACACTAATTTGCCTTGATAAAGTGTAATGTAGTAGACTAAATAAAAATATTGCAAAGAGTCCATTAAATCTACCTAACTTCATATCTATYAAATTCCTTATGCAATATATGTAAATCCTTGTCTTTCAGACCCAAGTCAGTCCAGCTCTTTGAATCTTTTGCGGTGTATAAAATAAATACCAATCTTCAGATAGAATTCATAATTCTAAATTCCCGAGGAGCGAATAATCTTGGAAAAAAATTTCTTTTCCGAAATGACACAACAGCAAAGGCAATAACAAATTACTTTTGGGATCGTGGGATTGGTCGAACGAGTTGGTCTTGACGTTATTTAGCTGGTATCTCTATTCAACCATGTATAACACTAATGGCTCGGCGGATCCACCTGTTGATCCCTGGGTGCATGATGGGAATGCCCAGAAAGCCAATCAAAATGAACCAAAGAAAATACATTTTCAGATATTTTATGAATTGCTCAAACATGTATTTGAGCTTGAGTACTTGCCTACATRGAGTCTTTTTCAGAGAATGACATAAAATATTTTTCTCCAATATTGTTGATAGTTAGAGTTCTCAGTTGACAGTGATAATATTGATTTTGTAACAATAATAATAATCTTTATTACAGTAAAACTTTGTATAAGAGGATACTACATTACATCAGAATATACCTATATTTACATATAAGTAGAGTTCATTCTAAAAAAGTTATCTTTCTTATCAAATAACAATTTAATCAATAATCTCAGTTGATAGTAATAATAATAATATTATAAGATTGATATATCGCTTATTCAAGTAAGCTCTGTAACAAAATTGATAATTTTCTCCGAATATTGCTTCGTCCCCTATTTGAGAATGAGAGGTTTGATTAAACTACTTGTTTGGTCAGCGAAATACACTCTAATGACAAAAGTTCGATCCTTTGAAACAGAATTGTCTTTCTTGAAATTTGTCGTACTTGGACCTTAAAGGAGTTTCTAAACTTCATACTGTAGGACGTCAAAATAATTTCAACTTTTATCCCTCCTTTGACACACAGAAAACACAATGTTTGAGGAAAACTAGTTTCGTCTATTCGACCTTATCAATTCAGAATTGTCTTTGCACCTGGCTAACCCATGGTAGTTGTCGTACCCTCAAATCTAATTAAAACTTTACGTCATCGGCGATTATCAAATGTGTCCATCTTAAATTGTCAATCAAACTACCGCATTTTGTCGGGCCGTCTTATAGTCTCTATCTGCACGAAGGGCCCGATATTTGTATTCGAAATGTTTTGAATTTGTGCTCATTTTTTTTCACGAATTATGGGTCTCGTCGACACTTGTCCAGCCGTATAGACGATTTTAATGCATAATMCTAATAGTAATAATAATCTTAAAAGGCCTAGTTTAAGATGATAAATGCACTAAAGCAAGTTTCTTCGTAACATCATATAATTGAGTATTTCCTTTTCCTTCCTCTCTGCATGAGAACGTCTTATGGTTATTAATTTATCAAAATCAACGACGGCTTTTTTATATTTACATTGATTGCGTTTGTTGAGCCGCAGACGGGAGATTGTTATTCCCATACAACACATAAACGAGTTATGACGCCAACAGTAATCAGCATTAATGACAGTGAGATAAATGACGAACGTACAAGGTAACTAATAGAAGGAATCGACGGGTTCCTGGGAGAAATAGATCTGTTCTTATATCCCAGCCAGCCGTGTGGTTGCCAGCGAGAAATTCAGGAAAAAATAACTCTCCAGGCAAGGAATACTTTCTAAGAATTTTTGCCAGGAAAATAAAAATTTCCAAACTAAAAAAGTATAAACCGTTTTTGACCATAAAAACGTTATACAAGCCTTTTTGTGTTGTCTCAATGCATGATGCCGACTGTCAATTACCATACTACAGTGAATAGACAGCCCTCAAGCAATGGCTCGAGAATAATTAATGAGTTTTATTAATCTTTATACATATCTTTATCTTTATTTTTGAAGACAACTGTGAGATGATGAGTGCAGCATTTGTTTTTTATTCATTTATCATTTATCATTTATCTGAAAACTCGAAATTTTATKATTAGGTATGGAACAGGTAAAATTTTAGCCTCGTGGGAGATTCRAACTCCCGACCCCTGGTTTRCGAGACCAGTGCTCTCMCCACTGAGCTAACGAGGCATTACTTATTAAAATCTKCATTAGAACAGCTAATAACTAGATGAATATCATCTCCAAGAAACGCTTTTGTCGTCGATGGAATTTGACAAATCACTACTGAGATAGATRCGCATGCGCTAGTCTCATTCTGCGACTCTCATSAGAAGACGCCAGGAGGCTTATTTTACTACAGATATAATAGCGTGAATATTTGAATTTAGTTTTACAACTACAATATTTTTGAAGCTCATGAGTTATTCATGTTCAAACACACTTCAGCGCGAGTTATAATGACAATATATATACTAAAAATGAGGGACTGGCTGGCCATCATACATAGGTCCCAGTTTCATGTTTTCGCAGTGGAAGCCAGACCTTTGTAACTCTTGCTACTGTAAGTGTTCTTTATGTTCTTTATGTCAATAGTGTTTGTGGATGAAATGTTCATTTGCTGTAGAATATGCTAAARTAAAATCATTTTTGACACTAAGAAAATCCAGAAGTGCAATTCGAGTGAATATTAATGAAAACATAATACATGTTTAAGTGAAAGTATCCGTTACTTGGACAACAAAGTCGCCTTGCTTTCAAATTGAAATCACTGCCCAAATCTTTCTAGAAACTTTTGTGATAGCTATAATGCCATGAAAACTACGGGTTCTACAATGGTTGTAACAAGGCTGGAAAAAAAACTGGCTGAGGGTCTTCTGAATACGTTAGCGTTTTGTGGCCTAGTTGTGTTAATTCAGAAAGGGATATTTCCAGCTCTCATRGYTCTTCCAAAAACTCTAAATTCTGAATACACAATAGATACGTCCTCCACTTTTAACCTTGATTTATATCGACGAAGGGAAGAWAGTTTCTTGGCTCATCGCTGGTTGTATTTGTGTGGATTGACATCTTTAAGGGGATTTTATCGCTCTAGTCTCTTTCCTAAGTATCCTGACGACTCTATTGTTGCTCGYCATCCGTCGCTTCGCTACTCTCACAGCAGTAGAGTAGGGGTAAGACTGAGTGGATGCTTAAAAGTACCAATGAGTGGCTTTTATACATTTAGTCTAAATTCAACTGGCATTTCAGAGCTATGGCTAAAATTCGACAACAATAGCTTTCAGAAAATTCTTAAAAGCAAACCTATGACAAGTGATGGTTTATCAGCTCATGATAACAGGTTAAGTGAAATCTTTATGGAAGAAGAACGACCCTATAGATTTGAAGTTTTTCACGTCGGTGAATTTGTCGAAGTTATGTGGTTSCTGCCAGGTTCAAGGAGTTTTAGCGCCATTGAGAGCAAATACATTTCTCATGACGCAGGCAGTTACAGCCATGAAGTATTAGGCTTTATTCTAGACAAAGAAAACAATGCCTTTGATTATCATACGCAAATTGGACAATACTACTTTGCCTCGTTTATCCCAAAATGGGTCATAAACTCTGCTTTTCCTAGTTGTGATATTTTTTCAAAAGAAAAAAAGAGCAAAACAAGATTTAATGATCCAATAGAGGTCAATTTGAAGACATTGTATGAAGATTTTGCTGGAAAGAAGAACGATTTGTGGATGCAATTTCCTGACATCAAAAACATCGTCCTCCTTTACATGAATGGACTAGAGAGAGTGTATCCTTTGTAAGTAGACCTTACTTAAAACTGGTTAAAGATAAGCAAATTATATACCGTACTTACAAAAAGGTTGAGAATCATTACAAAATAATCCACTTAAACTCTTTGAAAATATGCTTATTTAACAGCATACACTTGATACAAATATACATTTTGGCAATGTATTTACCAAAATACTTTCGCTGTGGTTCAGTGTAGTTAATCGCTTTTCCTATTTTCACTTATAAAACTAATATTCTCAATACACATTATTATAAATGCAACTGCCATCTTGAAATACAAAAGAAATTAATGTCCAGGATAATAGCAACATTGCTAAGTGAGTCACTTTCTCTATATAATTTAATACTTCAAATTAATTATATTATAATTTGTAATRCAAACTTCTTTTTCTATAGGATCTTGTTCACATTTTTATGGTCCCAAATTTCATGTTTTTATTTCTCCCTTAGTGGTACTTAGACATTCAATAGTTTCTCTGAAAACAAAAGAATTTTTTAATTCTTAAAAGGTGACGGACGTGTTGATCATATGGTTTGTAATATTGTTTAGGTTTAGCAATAGAGTGAGTTCAGCCCGCGGAAATTTCTGGAGATTTTCCGAAAAGTAACATTCAGTTTCCAAGGYAACTATCACAGCATATTATAACCGASATTTGAATTGAAATTTTACGCAGCARCGGACGCGGAAAAGTGCACGAAAAACCATTTCAATACATGTGAATAACGCCGTCAGTTCACTCAAACTTTGAAACATGATTGCTTACTTAATTTAATAAAGCTTTTCGAAGTGTATTCAACTTGCCTCATGTTTCACAAACTTTTTGACGAGGGAGGCTCAATACAATAGRTATATCGCTAAGACCAAGAATGATCGTCGCTTTAAAAGTTTTTAACCGATCAACGCCTAAGCTCTTCTTTTAAGATAATAAAATTGATGGATCTGCCAATTCACGGTAAAACTTTTGATTTTGTAAATAGTACCCAGTTCAGCCCTGTGTCTGCCATTTATCTATGCGTTTGAAGTATCTACAACTTTCATCTATCGAAGGCTTTAAGGTGTATGCCCGTCATGACCATGGAGAGCTCTATCGTGTTACGCGATCGACTATCGACCAAAGGGAAATTTATTGTTGAACTATAAAAAAAGGATATGGTATGTTTTTCGGGGAATGTATTCATAGACTTCGGTATCGTGCGTGCATAACATGTGAATATATATAGTTCCAATATAYATTATTTTAATAGTAGTTCTTCAAGACAGAAGACACAATATTACCATTTTATCTTTTTTTATAGAAAGTATAAAATAAGGAAATTGTACAAATTTGAAAAACTGAGCAACAACAAGAACGGGGGCCCACATTACGTCATTCATTTGGAATTTGATGTAGATGGACTTGATTACAAACAGCGAGTCATAGAATACGTCTATCRACCAAACTCTACGGTATTATGTCAACCCTTACACCTAAAGTGGCATCGAGATGCTGTTATYAATGTTATAATAGTAATCAAAGGAGGACAAAAGGCTGTTAGAAGATTCATTGAGATGATTGAACGCGTCTTTGAAAAAACTCTAGAAGTGGATTTTCATCTTATCGTAGTTAAATATGGTCGTTCAGGTGTTGATGTCGACGCCCTACTGGCCAAAACATCATTACTCAATAGGTACACTGTAGCTCATATCGATGGYCCTTTCTCAAAATCACGTGGGATGAACAAAGGCGCATCATTGGCTAAAGGAGATCACCATGCTATAATTCTAACATGTGATGTGCATATGGATATTCCAGACACGTTTTTTGAAGACACTAGAACGGTGAGTAGTGAYCTATTTGACTACGGCAATAAAAAGACGTGTACCTTTCATCTCAATTTTCTCGAGAACATTGCTCCATCTGATAACGGCT